GATTTAGATTCCCTATCTGCACTCCCACTTACTACCCCCACCCAATTGTGTGTGTGCCTATAGAGTCAAGTTCTTGTCCCCAAATGTCCATCAGTGTGGATTCAGTCACTGGAACCTGCGAAGAGTCTCACCCTTCAACAAGACTGACTCTCCCCTTCCCAGCAGCCATCAGTTGCCAATTCCCTCCTCAGGCAGGGTTGGGGTTTCTTACCCACGTTCCCACATCTCTGCTGGAATTTGCCTGGTTTGAGCTTGCATAGGTCTTATGCATGCTGTCACCACTGCTGTGAGATCATGAGAGTAAAGCTGTCTGGAAGATTCTGCTTCCTTGTGGTTATCACCTCCTCTGGCTCTTACAGTCTTTCCACCCCTTTCTCCACAATGATCCCTGTGGGGGTCTTGAAGGAACAGTCCCCACAAATCAAAGTTCTAGAGCAAGTGTCTTATTGATTTAGGAATAATGAGCCACCCCACCACTGAGGAATCTTCTTGGGGGAAGTGGCAGGACCTTGAAGGACAAGTATGAACTACATAGAAAAGAGGCAGGTGTGGGACTCAGAGACTGACTAATGAGCAAAAGCTCTGCAGGCCAGCGCCAAGCCACCCAGCACCAGATTACTACCAAGGGGCCAGCAAGGTGGCTCAGTGACACTTGCCTCCAAGCCTGACAGCTTATGTTGGATCTTCATGACACACAAGGAGAGAACCAACTCTTGCCAAGTTATCTCCTGACCTCCATATGCGCACATAGACACACAGACACAGACACACGCACATGCGCACATGCACACACAAAAATAGAGGCTGAAGAGATGGTTCGGCAGTTAAGAGCACTCTTAACTTGTAGAGGACCTGGGTTCGATTCCCAGCACCCAGAGGGCAGCTAACAACCATCCATAACTCCAGTTCCAGAGGATCTGACATTCTCTTCTGATCCATGGGCACTGCATGACATGGGTGAACTTACATGTAAGCAATACACCATACAAATAAAATAATAAATAAAATATTAATAAATAAGTGTAATTTTTAAAAAAGAGAAAGGCCAGGCACAGCAGCATGCACCTCTAATCCCAGAGCTGGAGAGGCTGGTACAGCCAGGGGCCAGCAAGGTGAGACCCTGTCTAAAAAGAATTGTCTTTCGTGTGTTGAGGTATTTTCTTCTAAATTTTAAGTGAAAACAGTATGGAACAAGGTTGAAATATCTAGTAATGTGCTAGGAAACCAGCTCTGAAGGGATAGTGGGAAACCCCTGATTTTTAGCTATTTGCTGATTTGGGTTAAATACCCACACATCCCTCATGGTCTAGCCAGCAGCTCAGGGTATTTCTGAACATTTCAAGCACTGTCTGTGGTAGGCCACTCGAATGCCTGTAGCCCATCTCTCATTTGACAAGTACACTCAAATGCTACGTAGACACTGAAAGTGGGCTTCACAACATATATCATAGATTGGATCAGAAATGTCTCCCAAAAGCCCATGTACCCAAGGCTTGGTTCCCAGGCTAGTGCTACTAGAAGGTGGTAGAAACTCTAAGAGGTGGTGCTTTGTTGGGCGTCTTCAGATCACTAGGAACTTGCTCTTAAGGAGACCGTGTCTTTTGCATCCTAGCCTTGAGGTGAGTGGCTTTGCTCTGCCACACAACCCCGCCGTTATTTATTGCCTCATTACAGGCCTACAATAGGCCAACCAACCATGGACTGAAACCTCAAAACTAGATCAAAATAGCTTTTCTCTTTATCTGAGAAATGTGTTATAATAACAGAAAGCAGCAAGCTTTTAAATCTTAGGTAGTCACTAAAACTCAGGTTGAAAGGATGATTTTTTTTTTTTTTTTTTTGAAACAGAATCTCATGTAACCCAAGCTGATCTCAAAACTATGTGGTCAAGGATGACCTTGAATTTCTGATCTTGCTTCCACTTCCCAAGTGCCAAGATTACAGGAGCATGCCATTGATGCCCCACGTGCTTGAGATGGAATCCAGGGATTCATGCAAGCTAAGCAAGCACTCTGCCAACTGATCTATATCCCCTACCTGGTTGAATAGTTCTTATCTGAAATGTATAGGATCAGAAGTATTGCTGATGATTTGTGATTTGGGAACATTTCATATTTTGAATTTTCACATTAGGGATACACAGTCTATATTTAATGATGCAAAAACATACTGGGAAAATATTTTCAGTGAAAACATATCCAGTATGACTCCAAGTATTCATCTAAAAATGAGTTGGGCATGGTGGTACATGCCTGTAATATCAGCAAGTTTGAGGCCAGCCTGGTCTATGTAGTGAGTTCCAGCTAGCCAGGGATGTATAGTGAGGACGTATCTCAAAGAAAAATGAAGTTCTTAAATGCCTGGCCTTGAGCTGCATGGAAGTACTCTGCTGTCTCACCCATGCTAAACGTCCTGTACCCAACCAGGGTCAAGATGAGGCATGCTTTGTCCAGACTATGGTACATGCAGAATGATGGCCACAGAGGACTCTTTGACTTGGATGTGCATGAATGTGGCAGAATTTGCTGAGAACAGAGTCCTCATTCTGGGATAAAAAGTCATGGTGTTCTGCACAGGCCTACTTTACTTCCAAATCTCTTTAAAATCTACATAGCAGGCTCCGGTACTCGTTTCCAAAGCATCTCCTTAAAGAGCTAGGGGGTACCCTTTTTGGGACTGGCTGAAGGGACAACCTCTGAAGAGTTTATAGGACGCTCTACTGGGTCCTGTGTGATTTGACTTGCAACACATTTCCTGCTTATAGGCAGTGTTTTACAAGGGCCTGTTAACCCTGGTTAACAGAAATAACCTAGTAGCCAAGCATGGTGGCACATGCCCATAATCCCAGTACAGGGAGTTAGAGTCAGAAGGTCAAGGTCAGCTTCCGCTGTGCAGAGTTCAAAGCCAATCCAGGCAATCACGCCTCAAAAGAAAAAAAGGAAAAGGGACCTGGTGCCTCAAGTGTATTTCAGTATGTGGCTATAGACCAAACCAAAAAACAAGAACAGCCTTCATTTTTCAAAGTTTTTAACTGTGTTTGTGTGTATGTATGACTGCAGGTACTTGCAGAGGCCAGAGAGGGCATCAGATCTCCTGAGCTGAAATTACAGGTTGCTGTGAACTGCCTGATATGGGTGCTGGGAACAAAATTCAGGTTCTCTACAAGAGCAGTATGCACTCTTAACTGCTGAACCATCTCTTCAGTCCCCTACTCCTATCCCCCAACATTCTGATAAACCTCACACAAAGCCCGAAAGGCAACCAGGCTTCTGGAAAGCAGGTGGCTTTGAGAAGGGGCTCACCCAGAGTGGGGACAATGTTACCTTACAGCAGATGTAGCCCTACCTGGGCCCCTCAGAATATGCAGTCTGGGAGCTTTCAGGATCTCTGGCCTATGGTAGTGGCAAGGCCACTGCCAGTAATAGTATAGGCAGAGGTCAAAATAGGGACTATGCCTTAGACCATGTTTTTAACTGTTAGATGCTTCCTTCAGTGAAGACCACAGCACCAAATGTGTGAGCTCATTTCCCATGCCACATCGCCTCCGAAGGACTAAATGGATACAAGCACACTCAAGGGGAGCCCACATGGCACCCTACCACTTGACTCACAATAAAGGGTGCATGTATTAGTACCACAGATACTACAAATTGGTGAAGTGAGTTTTCAAGACATGAGGATTGCTACATCTCAGTCCCTCCTCCCACATGAACAGAACATAAGGACTAGGGAGTCAAAATGCTTGCCATTTGGAACGGTACCAGCAGGCACCTGCATCCCCACCCCCACCCCCCAACATGCACAGATACATACATACCCATAAAAATAAAATAACTATTGGAGTATTCTTTAATGAACATGACTAATCAAAAAGATAGCTGAACCTTGTGGCTAAAATTCTGTACAATCTGTTCTGAATATATTTTCATATAAGCAGCCACGAAAACACCTACTGAAGCAGACACCCAGTGTGATGGCTGGCTTTAATGTTGACTTGCCATAAATTAGAAATCACCTGCTCAGGGAGCCTCTACTTAAGAACTGTCCCAGTTGCCTTAATTGATGTAGGAAGATGCATTCCAAATGCGGGCAGCACCCTCTGAAGCAGCCCGGGTAAATGGGGCACGGCAGAAAGACGTTTCACTTTTGCCTGTTTGGCCTTCTCCCTGCTGAGCCGAGTCACCCTGTTGCTGCTGCTGCTAATTCCTTTCCTGACATCAGAACCAGCCTTTCCAAGCTTCCATTGTTAACAAAGGACCAGTGGCTTCCCAGGATTCCTCCAGGATTTGGTGCCAGATTGGGACTGCTGAGGCACCCAGCGCTGTTGACTGAGCAACTACTGGGGTGTCAGCCTCTAGTGTGAGCACTGCTGAGGGACTACTCTGACTGCTGAGACACAAACGCAGCCTCAAGGAACGAGCAAGTACCAGATTCTCAGCCTCTTGAGTCTGATTCAACTGTTACTACAATTTCAAGGTAAGGTGATTAATAAATTCTTTTAATGTATATTCATTCTGTCAGTTCTGTTACATTAGAGAACACTGACTAACACACCTGGTAATTCATCAAGCGTAGCAACTTCTCATAACCAGCAGGTGTTGATACTGGCTTTTGTAGTACCATTTTCTAACGGTTAGGGAGTTTTCGATAAAGATCATCTAAAGGCGGCCCATCTATTTTAATTAGTGGAAATTATTGAAATCTGCCAAAAAGAAACTCAATGATCACGAATAATCAAGTCAGTTTGACATATACCAGCTATAACTCTAGATTTTCAGAACTGCAGCTGCGTGAGTTACTCCTGCAGGTCTGCTGTGAGCCCTCATCTCTACCAGAAGGGGCCTGGGACATTGGGGGTTACTTACCTTTTCAAGTCTACCACAGTGCCATGCTCACTGAATATGTGATTTTCAGGGCCCCAGAATTTCTGATCTTAATTAAACGCCACCATTTAGCTTGTTTAAAAGAAAAAAAAAAAAAAAAACACAAAAACCCTCAAGTACTTTAAAAATCTTTATTCTCTCCTAACTGTAAAAATCATACATGTTCACTATAAAAGATCTACATTATAGAAAATCAAAATCCAATAAATTCTGCTAGAACCTTACCCTTAGAGATGACTGTTACTCTCTTTGGTAAGTATTCTTCAGGATTTAAGGATAAAGGAGGATGAACAGCACAGTGGGATCTTACTACACATTTTCTACTCCTGTGCAAGTTTTCAAATTGTTCTAATAAATAATTCAGCTGACCAGCTTTTCCAGGGAGGTTTAAACACTAGTTTTCAGAGAACAAACCACAAAGTAGGTGAGAAAAACTAAGATTTCCTTGAATTTTTTAAGTGACACAGTTTTTAAAAAAATAGAAAACATACATAAAAATGGAATAGTTCAGAAAAACCCAGTTTTTATAAAAATAAAACCTTCAATTTTTCAATTTTGGCATGTATTATAAAATGGCTTTAAAATTCAATATGGGGAGCAGATATCTCTTTACCATAACACATAGCTATAGACAGATTTCTACAGTTCTGGAGATAAGGACCAGGGCAGGGTGAAGCATGAGATGGAGCTCAGGCATTGCAGTTGGCAAAGGACAATTTCGATTCAACTTCCCACAGCTTTGTCTGCAATGCTGCCAAGACGTCTTCCATCTATCAAATGGGAAAAGATGAATACAAATGTGAATATGATTAGCGACTCATGGTTAAATGACTAAAATACATATCGCTCGTAAGACTTGGATGTTTTGCATGATATATAGGGGCATTTGGCCTGACAAAACTCTTCAGAGGCATGAGTTTCATTATGACCTAATTATAATCCCATTAGCCGCAGTCTCAACCCGCAATCTACAACTACACACTCATTTACCACCTTGTCTGTCTCAAGAACATATTAGTTTTCAGCAATAAGAATGTTTATACCAGGGCTGGAGAGATGGCTCAGTGGTTAAGAACACTGGTTGTTCTTGCAGAAGACCTGGGTTCAAATCCCAGCACCCACATGGCAGCTAACTGTCTGTAACTCCAGTTCCAGGGGATCCAACACCTTCTTCCGACCTCCACAGGCACTGCATGACATGGGTGCACTTACCTACACACAGGCAATACACGCATACACACAAAATAAAAATAAATAAATAAATAATTTTTTTTTAAAAAAAAGAATGTTTACACCAGGTGAGAATAAAATATTTCCTTTGGGCCATCAAGATGGCTCATCAAGTAAAGGTGCCTGCCACCAAGACTCAGAACCTGGGTTTGATCGCTGGGACCCATATGATGAAGGAGAAAATGATTCTTATAAAGTTATCCTCTGACCTCCACAAGACTGCTGTTACAGGCACTGCCCCATACACATACATATACATGTACACACATAAAAGTATTTGGAAAAAATTTTAAATATTGATTTGCTTCAAAGCTACATTTCTAGTTTATTTTAGAATACATGTTATGACTTGGCATGAATGTGCACAATATTCTGTTGATACAGCTTTGGTTTACAATTCAACTTGACTAAGAACTGAAATGAAATAAACACTTTTTTACTATGAAAGAGCTAAGATCAGATGACATCATGACATCACGTGAAGGAGTCATTTCTTTACTGACAGGAAGTTGTTCACACAAGACAAAACATTCAGAATAAAATTACCTGTTTTAGAGACTTTTCTATTTCAACTCTGCTTTCAAGATTAAAAAGCTCCTTATCTTCTGATACAATCTGCTTTTCAGAGGACCCTAAAGTATAACTGAAGTGCAGGGCAGTACAAAGTTAAAATATGAAAGGGAAACCATATCAAACTAAATCAGCTAATAATGCAAACTCTATGCACATTACTATACCCATAAGTACTAAGTGAATGAACACAACAGCTAATCTTTTCACAGTGACCTTCCTAGGAAGCTGAACTACATAAGCCACTTCTCTTTCCCTAATGGCTTGGTTCAGATATCTCTACATCTTAATTTTCCATTATAAATATTTCATCAGGCTAGGTGTGGTGGTGTACGCCTTTAATCACAGCACTTGGGAGGTAGAGGCAGGCAGATCTCTGTGAGTTCAAGGCCAGCCTTGTCTACATAGTGAGTTCCAGGCCAGCTAGGGCTACAGGAGACCCTGTCTCAAAAACACCAATAAATAAATAAATAAATAAATAAATAAATAAATAAATAAATAATAAATAAATTTCATCAATAGAATAAACTTATTCCTTAGGTAGTTGGGTGGCAAAGCATTCTCACAGTTGGAAATTTAAGGGCAAGTTTACCAATGCTAAGGAAGTCACTGGTCCTGAAGCCATTGCTTTCTGGCTTTTTGTGACTTCAGAAACATGAATATTTTCAAGTTTGACTTTTAATAGATAGTAATTTGTGGGAACAACTCATGATTATCAAGATTTGAACAACCTTGGAGCTAGAGAGATTGGTCAGTGGTTAGGACCACTGGCTGCCCTTGCAGATGACCCCAGTTCAACTGTCAGCACACACATGGTGGCTCACAACTATCTGTAACTCCAGTTCCAGGGGATCTAATGTCCTCTTCTTGCCTCTGCAGGCTCCAGGCATGAATGTGGTGCACTTATATAGAGGCACTCATACTCACAAAATTAAAAAAAGATCTGGATAACCTCAACAGGTATCCTCTAAGTCATGTTTTGCTCAACTCTCTAGGGTAAGATGGTATCATGTTTTGAAAAAGTATTACATAGGGGTTTTTGTTGCTGTTATTTTAAATTGGAGCTGGAGAAATAGCTTATCAGTTAAGAGCACTGGCTGTTCCTGCAGAAGAGTCAGGTTGGGTTCCCAACACCCACCTGGTAGCTAACAACCATCCATAACTCCAGTTTCAGGGGACCTGACACCCTCTTCTGACTTCTGCAGGCATTGCATAAACATGGTTCACTTATGTACATACAGGCAAAACATGAAATAAAAATAAATTAATTTTTTAAAAACTGGCCTAGCAACATGAGAAAAATAGGCTCAGTGTCAACAAGATAAACTGAAGCATAAGGAAGAAAATGTGATTTTTTTGCATTTAAAGTCTTGCATCACATGTAGCAACCTCACGGCATTCTGTCAAATAAATCTTCCCTTGGAAGCACTACAGATTATATTCCTGAAAGAATGTAATGTGCAAAATTTCAGAAGGTGATTAAAACTGATGCCATTCAAGTAATAAAACTGTAAATAAATGTTGCAAGTGGGAAAACACTTCTAAAATAAACCCAGACTCCTTGGCATGAATATCCTGCCCTAAAAGATAACTTGTATCCTAAATTCAACTGTTCAAAAATAACTTCAATTATTGTGATCTACTAGAGTAAAATTTTTTGTCATTTAATTTTTAAATTTATTTTTTGTGTATGAATGTTTTGCTTGCATGTATATAAAGTGTACCAATGTTATGCAGTGCCAAAGAGGCCAGAGAAGGCATCAGATCCCCTGGAACTGGGGTTGTGGATGGAAAGGGAACCCAGGGTCTCTGTAGCCAGTTCTCTGAACCATCATCTCTCCAGCCCTCCCCCCCCAAATTCTTTCCTAACCAATTTTGAAATGCCCATTCTTCATGATATTCTTTTGGGTGGGACACGGAGGATTTTGAAACAGAATCTCAAGTATCCCAAGCCAGCCTCAAACTCCCTACATAGCTGGAGGATGAACCTGATCCTCCTGCCTCCACCTCCCGAGTGCTAAGATTGCACTGGGTTTATGCAGTGCTGGGCAATGAACCCAGGGTTCTGGGCAAGGAACCCAAGTCTCTAGGCAGTCACTCTACCTATGAGCTCCAACCCGAACCCCTCTTTGTGTTCTTAGAAGTTAGTAATGGGGATGGGGAAGATTGGACAGTACATATTGATCCATACAATGGCTCAAAAATTGTTGCCAGGCATGGTTATGCACACCCATAATCCCAACACTCAGGAAACAGAAGTATGAGGATTAAGAGTTTGAGGCTAATCAAGACTACATACTGAAATCCTGTCTTTAAAAAAAAACAATGAGGGGGAGGGTATGGGAGGACAGCTTGGCAGTTAAGAACACTGGCTATTCTTGCAGAAGACCCAGGTTCGAATCCCAGCATCCACATGGCAGCTAACAACTGTCGGTAACTCCAGTTCCAGGGGATCCAACTTCTGTAATACACACACACACATAAGGTAAACACACACACACATAAGATAAAAATAATAAAATATTTTTAAAAAAAAGAAAGAAAATTGCTTTGAAAATTTTCAGATAAATCTGTTTACCCAAAAGCCAAATTACAGAATCCAATAAAGGTCAGCCAAATAAACAAAAAAACAAAAAAAAAAAGAATTTCTCAGTTTCTACTATAATTCAGTGTCTGACTTTTCTAATACCAAATAAGTCAGACCCAAACAGAGGGGAAAAAAGCTCACTGGCTTCACTGTCAGAAATTATTACTCAAAAATATATTTAACCAAACAGAGTTGATTTAGAATTGTTGTGCTCATAGCAATTTCTGTGAAAACCTAAATGTGAGCGATCAGTTATGACGTAGTCATTGATCCACCAAACCTACCTTTCAATGGCTTCAACGCTGAGACAGAACAAGTCCCTCTTGTAATCTAGGTTCTTGGGAGTGCACCTGTACACGCAGCCGAGGCTGAGGGAACAGCCTGCACAGTGCAAAGTCTCAAGAACGCTGCCAAAAAGAGACAACATCATTTAGGGGGAAAGTAGCAACACAGCACGTATAACAAAAATCTCCTGGCTAAAAATCCATAAGCCACCGAGCGTGGTGGCGCACACCTTTGATCCCAGCACTCAGGAGGCAGAGGCAGGTGGATCTCTGTGAGTTCAAGGCCAGCCTGGTCTACATAGTGAGTTCCAGGATAGCTGGGGCTACAGGGAGACCCTGTCTCAAAAAGACCAAAAAAAAAAAAAAAATCCATAAGCCTAGGGGCCACCATGATGGCTCAACAGGTAAAGGCTCTTGCTGCCAAGCCTAACAACCTGAGGTCAATCCCCAGGACCCACAGCTGTAGTATGAAAGTTGTTCCCTGATCTCCACATGCACAGCAAGGCACATGCATGCACATGTGTATACACATGCAAAAAAAATGTAACTTAAATAAAAAGTAAAATCCATAAGCCCTTAAATACTTCAATTAAAAAGTATGTTATTCTCACCAAATTTTGGGGGGCGAGGATTATGGGAAATTTTGTTTTTTTGTCTTCTTTGAGACAGAATCTCATGAAGCCCAGGCTGGCTTCAAATTTGAGGCAATCCTTCTACATCAGCCTCCCATTACAAGTGCTGGAGTTACAAGCATGTGCCACTACAACCAGCTTTATTTTGATTGTACTGTTACATATATGTAAGAAAGAAAAAAAATGATGGTAAGATGATTCTGTGACAAGGTCCACATATAAAATACTGAGGCAGTGTTTTTATAGAATGTAAAGTCCTTGATCTGGTATTTATCTAAAATTTTAGAAATGACACAAAGAGATTCTTCATGATCTCTTAATGTCACTGTCAACTAACCAGCCCACCAAAGGTCATTATGAACACTCTAGGTGGGAACAGAGGTAGGTTTTTTCTGTAATGGAACAGAAAATAAACACTTCAGGCTTTCCGCCATCTAGTGTCTGATGTAAGCACTAACTTTGCCGCCGTAGCACAGAAGCACTGCAGCAGAGGCAACACAGAACCAAAAAACTGTTGCACCGAAACAGTCACACAAGATGGTGCCAAGGCTTTGCCAACCCTGCTCCAGTGGCAGGTAAACACACTGACTTACTTTAAGAAAAAGGATCTCGCCAGGCATGGTGGCACACACCTTTAATCCCAGCACTCAGGAGGCAGAGGCAGGCAGATCTCTGTGAGTTCAAGGCCAGCCTGGTCTACAAAGTGAGTTCCAGGACAGCTGGGGCTACAGGGAGACCGTCTCAAAAAAAAAGACCAAAAAAAGAAAAAAGAAAAAAGGATCTCTAAACTTAGGTGCTGCCTTGTAGAAAGAAGACTGGTAAGTGGCAAAGAACTTTAACACAGTAGAGAGCCCTACCTATACTAGACGGCAAGTGGCAAATCTCCATGCTATAGGTCAAACTTCATCAATTAGGAGGCTACCACAAATCATTAAGATTCAGAACTTACATCTGATGCATGTATTGTTAAGTTTAAAAAGAGTATTTAGAAACATCTGAGACTTGAAATTCTAAAACACTGATAAATGGTTAAGATTTTTTCAAGATTTACATTTATTGTATGCCTATTAGTTGTTGGCCTGCATGTAAGTATGTGCAGGCCAGAAGAGGGTGTTAAATCCCCTGAACTGGAGTTGCAGGAGGCTATGTCACCATGTGGATGCTGGGAACCAAAGTTGAGTCCTCTGCAAGAGCAGCCAGTAAGCCATTTTTTAATCTGAATTTTCAAAATCAATCAAAACATATGGTTTGTCCCCTCCAGCACATGTAGAAATTTAAGCCCCACTGTGAAGTAGTGAGGGGTAGAAACTTAAGTCTTATTATGGTTTTCAGAAGTGGGGCCTCTGGAAGGTGATTAAAATTAGATAAGACTGCCAGATTTTGATCCCAGGATTTGAGAGGCTGAGGTGGGTGGATCTCTTCAAATGTGAGGCTAACTGGGTCTACATAGGGAGTTCCAGGCCAGCCAAGGCTATATAGTGAGACTGTGTCAAGAAATAAAAAAGATTGGATATGGTTATCTGGGTAGGGCCTCAATGACTAAATCTGGTGGCTTTATAAGAAGAGGGAAAGAGGCCAGAAGAGGGAAAGAGGCACATTCCACACAAAGCTCAATCTTGCCATGTCATGCTCTGCATCACCTGGAGACTGTCATCAACGTCATAGCTGGATGTGGCCCTTTCACCATGTTCCTCCAGAACCAGGAGTCCAAACAAACCTCCTTGTTTTATAAAGTAACATGGTTGGGTATTTTGTTATCATCCCCACTAATTCAAATTTTTAGAATAATCTTGAGGAACGACAGGAAGTAGCTGTTATCACTGCAGCATCTTTCTGCTGTCACATCAGAGATTTGAACAGAATTCAGCCTATCATCAAACAAGACTCACCAGCAGTGCCAGAAATCAAAGTGATTTTAAACAAGAAACAAGATCAGTTATAAGATCCTCAACCCAGGACGGAATCAGAACAGAGGCAGCACGCCACTTTCACAGCCCAGTCCTAACCTGTGCTTTGGCTGACCACCAGAACGGCTCAGCCATTCATAGGAAGGGCCTCTGGAATAACCCATAAGATCCTAAAGAAATATAAGATTTCCAAAAGTGTGGAGTACGTGGCCCTATTGAAACCCAATTTAAGGCAGATGGATTTAGGTCATACAACCACACAACATTAAATAAATTCGGATCAGAGTGAAGCAGGTCAACTTCCTTTTCAAGTTACAAATTCTGATTATAAAAAAGAACCAAGTCCCTGTTCCGTAACACACTGCCTTCAATACTTACCAGTTATGAATCTCTTAGCACTAATAGAACAGACCACAGGCTCAGACCCAGACAAGCAATAATTGCGAGGCCTAATATTTGCTTCACTGTAATTACCTCTGGAGCTACCTTCAAGTTCTGGGCAGTAATATACTTACGGCAGCAATATAAATGTTTCTTAACATAAATTTAAATAAAAAGTTTTAAGCTGACTTAATGAACACATACTAAGCACACACAACAGCAGTGGGCACACAGACATGACAAAAATGGAGAGTGACAACATGAGGTGAGCTGGGCAACAAGAGAAAAGAATACTGAGGAGTGGAAAACCCCAGCATCAGCCTTTTCTGCTAACCAGTGCTGTGGCCTTGGCCTGGTTCTAACTCCTCAACCACATTTTCTTCATCCACAGACTAAAAAGTGATCCAAGGCTGACTTTTCCAGATTGTATCATTTACATGTCAATAGCATAATTTGTTACACATACATATCATCTGTATCATTGTCAACTTAATTTTTCTGAGTTTTAACACTAAAATGTACGTTATTTGAATACTCAAGCATGATTAAAAATTAAAGATCAGTACTTTTAATGCATGTTAAAATATATCTAGCAACTTTTCCTTCTCCATGTACTGCCTAAGGTTTTCTTTACCTCAGTAAGACACATTTCCTATTTTGTCATAGCAATTAAAAAAAGCAGAGCTTGATTAGATGACAGTTGTGACAAGGTATCTGTCCCTTCAACCCTTGCAGAGGCCAACACAAGGATTGCTCTGGTTCCCAGGTTAGCTGCTACTGGTCACAGAGAGGCTTGTTTGGGTGTATACCCAGTAGGCTGGGTGCACATGTATGTGGATGTTGAATTCATGTTTTCTGTTGCCAGGGCATGAAAAGGTGGGAACCAGTGGAACAGGGCACCTTTGACATTGAGATTTTAAGACAGATATTTTCATCTACATTCATTTTAAATTCTCTTCAGCACCGAGCTCAAAGCCCTAAAACCAGACAGAGTGTTACTTTTGCCTTTAGAAATTTAGAAACTTCCATTTCACTATCTAAAGGGGACTATTATCATTGGAGAATTGACTTTTTTGACTAATTTTGTATGGATTCAATTACCATGAAAATGGTTCTATCTTGAGCATTCATACTGGGAATGATAGAAGACTTTCCCTTTAAACAATTTCCGCAGCATAACAATCACATAGATAAAAATCTTCCTTCCTGGGGCTGAGCTATAGCTCAGCAGTTAGGATCACTGGCGGCTCTTGTAAAGGACCAGGCTTTGGTTCCCAGAACCCACATGGCTGCCAACAAGTCTGTAACACCAGTTTGAGGGGATCCAGCACCCTCTTCTGGCCCCCATGGGCACTGCACCTATGGATGCGCTTATATACATGCAGGTAAAACATTCATACACATAATGTTTTTAATCTTCCTTACCAACCATTTTCATCTTTTCGTTTGGATAGTTTCTGTTCCTTATCCACGTAAACATTCGAGGAAACACCTGGGAAGAAAGCAGCTAGAGCTTTGTTAATGTGGAGTGTTACATTACAGGTATGGGCATTCAGAGAGCTTTTAACCCAACTGTAACTTTTATTTTAGAACTTAGAGGACTAGGAAAAAGATCCAAAGACCCCCACCACACACACACACACGGATCGATACTGAAGGTCTTGTGGAAAAGGATGGTGGATTTCCTTCCCTGAAAACCAGCATTAAGAAAACAAATAAAATTACCAGAGAAAATTCAATCAATAGTACAACTTGGACCAATCAGAATCTCAAGTAACAACCTACAAAGAACTACCAGATACAATGAAATCAGGATCAAGACCAAGGAAGATGTTAAGAACCAGCACATAAATCTCCAGATGCCAAAGACAGAGCTCAGTTCTTTAAAAGTAACTGTGCAGGTCCCCAGTCAAACATCTTGGACAGGCCACAGCTGAATCCCAGAAGCAGCACAAAACATTCCCAAAGGAGAGGAATGAAAAGGGATGAGATGTGATGGCCAACACAGACTTCTGAGATCACCTCCTTCCATGCTGTACCCTTCCTAAGTAAACTCACACCCACATATCCAGTTGCTCAAATTAGAAACTGACATGTATTCCTTGAGTTTCTTTTGGTCTGTATGGTTCTAGCTATCAAACCCAGGGCCTTGCCATACTGAGCAAGCTCTGCCTCACAAAGCTTACTCAAGGCCCTGTATCAGCACCACTTCTTGCCTAGACAACTACTCTAGAAGTTCAGACAGTAGTACTGTTAGTCCACCCCCTCCTGTTTGTTCCAGAACAACGAACAGACTCCTGTCACAATCCTGCTCCAAGGGCTCACTCATTAGATTCCTATTCTTTACAACAGCCTGTAAGTCTCTTGATTTTCTGGCCCCTTCTTAAATCTTGTTTTTAAGCTTTGGCCACGCTGGCCTGAGACCCTTTGCATTGTATGCTGAGTCCCTGGAGAAAATGAAGAGCGGAATCCAGGAATTGTACATGCAGCCAAGTTGGTGCTTGTGAAAATAACAGAAAGGCATTTTCCAACTTGAAAACTTGACGTTTTCTTGAAGATGGAGCAAACAATTCAGGAATGGGAAAAGCTACTAAGTTTTTTCTATGTTAATAAAACTACTGGAGTTGCCGGGCATGGTAGCGCACACCTTTGATCCCAGCAATGGGGAAGGCAGAGGCAGGCGGATCTCTGAGTTCAAGCCCAGCCTGGTCTACAAAGTGAGTTCCAGGCCAGCTGGGGGTACTCAAAAAGACAAAAAAAAACAACAACAACAAAAAACACCTACTGGAGTTGAGAAATAAATTCAAAAAACATTACGTTAAAGGTAAATCATCATCTTGTGGCTATAAAATAAAATGTAAATGTTCAGTCAGGTGTGGGGGCACACACCTATAATCTCAGCATTTAGAAAACTGAGGCAGGTCAAGAGTTCAAGGTCATCCTGGGAAACAGAGCAAGATACATACATACACATACACACACACACACACACACACACACACACACACACACACAAATTATATGTCATAAACCTGAACAAAGTAAAATGAAACACTGAAAATGAGGCAAGAGAGATTAGAAATTAATCCAAGGGGTCATTTTGTTTTGCTTTAACTTTTACACCCTGCATTAACAGGTACAAAGGGGTTGTAAGTTCAGTAAAATCACTATGGAAAACCTGTGCTCCTAATGTAAAGGAACTCAGCAACAATGATTAATATGGAAATAAATCAAATGATTTAACCAAGATAGGTTATATAGGTTAAAATTTAAAAACTAACAGAAACAGCAGTATGCTTACATACAAAAGCAAGACAGAAAAGCTATAAAAATGGGGTGGGGGGATACAAATTGAAAGAGTAACACATTATTTCTTTAAAAGCCATAAACAAAATAAATCCAACAAAAAGAGCAGCTTCTGCTGTATCAGAAATCTCTACCCAATTTTATGCTGTTCTAATTAATGGTGGCAACCTGGATTTCTATCAAGAGAAGGGGTGGGAGGCTGGAGAGATTTGAGAGCACTGGCTGCTCTTGAAGAGGACCCAGGTTCAATTCCCAGCACCCACCTGGTGGCTAACAACCTTCCATAACTCCAGTTTTAGAGGGTCTGACACTCTCTTCTGACCTCTGGGGACACTGCAGGACATGGGTACACTTACATACATGCAAGCGATACACTCATGCACATAAAAGTAGGTTTTTTTTTAAAAAAAAAAAAAAAGAGAAGGGGTGGATCAGCAACACCTCCATAACTTATTTAATCCTCACCATGACTCCATGAATTATCCCCCATTTTAGAGGAAACTGAGGCACAGAGTGAACAGCTTACTCAAGGATACTCAGCTAGTCAGTGGCAGTCCACGATTCCCACGTAAGCAGTTAAAACATAAATATGCATATATATGCATGGAACATATCTGGAAGTATAAATAAGTTTATGTAACTCTGGGACTATGAGGTGTAGAGACCAAAGGTCTTTTATTACTTCTACACTTGTCTACATCGTTTAATAGGTGCAAAAGGTAACTGAATGAATCAGGAAATATATGTTCTTGCTATAAAGGAATTCATCAATGACTGTTAAAACTGAGGTATCCTTACAGAAAACAACAGGTCCCAGAAAATTCATTACTTGGTGAACACTGGGGTTCTCCTTCGTATCCAATATTACACCTCAGGAAAGCATTCCACAAAGGTTAGAGAATTTCCTCCATCAGAGTATTTAGAGAATTCAGAGCATAAACTTCCTCTCAAAAAATCAGGAGGTCCAAAAATAACAATCATTTTTACACCAATGCAAAAAAACAGTGAACCACTTTAGCCCTAAATATATTCTGGCAATTACTGTCAATATAAAACTTGAACTCCTGTTTTCTTAATCCTTTCATTACATTCTCCTTTCTCGTTCTGATGGCGTTGCAGTACACTTGAGTTTACTCCCCCAACCCCCACAGCACTATTATCTGTGAACCCCCTGGTTGTAAACGCAGTTGGTGGAAACTAAATGCGACCGCTGACTGAACCTTTGAGATTTGAGAAATCAATCTTGACAGTCCCTTGCAGGAAAGCACCTGGCTAAAGTTTCCTTTCCCAAATCAATCGTTAACACCCCCATTTACCAATTAAGAGCCCTCTAATACCCGTGGGGAGTAGTAAGACCTGGCCAGGCTACACCCCAAATACTTGGTCACTTTTTCTGAATAACGATTGCAACCGCTGCACTTCTGGGATGGGGAACGCCGGAAAAGAGAAGACCCGCCTCCCCTTTCCGTGAGACCTCGGGGTTTGCTACTTGGAAAGGCCCCCAGCCCACACTGACAGCGCAACAGGATGCAGTTGGTGTCCTCCTGGCAGGTCACCCAGCTCAGCGAGTCGCCTAGCGGCCGGCGGCAGCGCGTGCACAGGAACACCAGCGGGTAGTCGGCGGCCTCCGCGTCCTCGGGCGGCTCAGCGCCCTCCTCCGTCGCGTCGCGGCTCGAGGAGCTCCACATGCTCGCCCACTTATGCAGCAGTTGATGGCGGCTCGAGTCTTCCGAGAGCCGCTTCCCCAGCAGCGAGGAGTCGCTCCGCTTGCCCTGGCGGTCAGAGGCGCATCCTCCGCGATAACCCTGGGACCAAGCGGCCGCCATGAAGTTTGAATCTCCGGCGCCCCGGAGCCTCCCGGGTAAAGCGCGTCTGCGCATGCGCGGGAAAAGGAGCGCAGGCGGAAGTGCCGGGGCGGGACGACGCCCAAGGGGCGGGGCCTGAGGAAGGTCGCCTGCCCGCCGCCTCTAGTGCGCATGCTCGCTGTCCTGCTGTTTCCCCAGCGGTTGTCATTGGGCGTGTGCAGTCTTTGGAAAGGAAATTTGGATCCTTGTCCTCCGCCGCGATAGAGAAAGTTGAGGGACCCAAATTAAACGAGCAACGGCTCGCCTAGTCCTTCCCCACGGTTCGTAAGCGTGGCTAGGCCCTGCGTTAGCGAGCCGAGGAATGGTTGGAGAGCTAGCTGAGCAGAGCCCGGGAATTCTGCATTGCCGCAAGCCCCCAGCCATGGATGAGGTGTACTGCTAGGTGCACCTTTGACTAATTTGTCTACACCTGGGAGCCCGCTTTCCTTGAGATAGAAAAGGCAGAGGTTGTTGGGAATTACCTTGTCACATGTTATTGCTGAGCATTGTTATTGAAGGAAAAAGATCCTCCTCCCCCAAGGGCCCAGGATCACCCAGTAGCACCGCAAGAAAAAAAGTTGGAGAAGCTTACACAGACAGCATCGCTGTTGCTGTGAAGCAGAGAGGCGCCCCTCACTCATTCTGGGTCAGAGCCTTAGGGCTGGAAGGATAGACTTCTCCAGAAAGTCAACCTCTGACTTCGAGTCGACAGGCAGGAGGGAAAACTGGTGGACACCACACCAGAGCTCAGCCGGGAATAAACAACACCCAAGGACCCCAGTGTCTTCCCCAAGTCACACTCCCCAGTTTGCTTCATAAAACTACATAAAATTTACTTCCTATTTTAGTGTTTCTGACGTTTAGCAAAAGGTTTAGAATGCAAAGTCCTGGACTTGACCTAGCTCTTCCTCCACGAGGTGGTAACCGGCCAAGAAACTGGAAAGGCTATTTTCCCTTCTTTGACCGTGATTTTGTTTAAGCAAGATCTCACTTTAGTTCAGGCTGTCCTGGAATTCACTATGTAGCCCAAACTGGCTTCAAACCCTTAGTGATCCTCCTGTCTCAGCCTCCCAAGTGCTGGAATTACACATATGAGCCACCAGGCTAGGCTTTGAGTCTGATTCTTTCTGAATTAAATAGTACCACCCTGGGATGTTTATGAGAACCGTTGGTGTGAGAATACTTTAGTTCTGGCATACCACCCCTGAATTAATTAGCTTCCAAGTACCAAAAAAAAATGCTTCAAATGGTTTAGGGATTTTCCACCCATAGAATTTTCTCCTTCTAACTGCTTTTGAGGGGTCAAGCCTTACCTGAGAACTGCTCGCAAGACACTCTCTCTGGTACATGGATAATACAGCCCACATGAGTTGTGTAAGTTGGATAGTGTCTTTGGAATTCAATGGGTGAGTCTTTGCCTCAGACTTTGGAATTCTGTTGTCAATACTTAAAATTCTGTACTGGGCTATCTCAGTACAGCAGTCCCCTTTCGTCCTCAGGGAATACATTCTGTCCATGCAGGAAACAGAGCTTTCACCTCAAAGTGGATAAGAGTTTATTCTGGAGTCAAATATGAGTGACTGTGGCCCAAGAACACAGATTTAGGTTACCCTAATTTCCATGTTCCAACAGAGTATCAGTAGTCTGAAATTTTTATAGTAACAGAACAAAGACGCATAAATAAATGCACTTCAGATACACTGGTAAGCACTTTGGGTAGGTCTGTTATAGTAAAGCAAGAGGAAATCTCTACTGTAGACGTTAGATGCTATCTGACAATATTCTTCACATTTGGGTTGGACAATAGCGATCTGTTTCTACATTCCAAAGAATTTACCTAATAGTCACAAGGATGTTAGGTCTCATACAGACGTGGACAATAAGTAACCATTTAAGGGGACTAAAGATGGCCCAAGATAATGAGGCTCTGGACTTGCACCATCCCAACCCCTCCACACAATTGAAGTTCTAATCAGCCTTTGTAGTCTCCATTTCTTACCTGGAATTTTTATTCAGAGTTCCAAGATCCCTGGTGGATACAAGAAACTGCAGTCATCACCAAACCCTTTACAGACTTGTTTTGCTGAGCTTGGCAGGGTGAGAGGGGAAGGGAGGTGAGGAGACCTGGACAGAGAAGGGACAAGGAAAAGGAGGAGGAAATGAATGAATAAGACCTTGACTATTTTACTGGAAGAATTAGGAATTTTAAAAAAATGTATTTATGGGGAGGGGGATGTGTGTGCATGTGGAAGTCAGAGGACAACTTTCAGGAGTTGGTTCTCTCCTTCTTCCATATGAGTCCTGGAAACTGAACTCGGGTCATCAGGCTTGGCACCAAGCACCTTTACACACTGAGCCATCTCACTAGTTCCAATTACAAATTCTTAAAAGTGCTGTGGCAGTTGAGGAAAATCAGAAATTAATGACTATTGATTAATAGTCAGAGACTTACACTCGCATAGAATGACAATAAGGTATGATTGCAGGTACCTGGAGGCAGGTGACCGGCTTGTCTAGCAAACAGGGTTGATTGCAGCTACATCTAAAGACCATTTAGATATGTGCCTCTAGGAGTCAAATGGCACCCAAGGCCGCCTTCCCTGACCAGCACCAGCTCAGGGGAATGGCAAACTGTGCTTTCAGCCCTCAGGGACCTTCTGCCACAATAAGAGCCCCTCTTAGTGGATAAAACACACTGTGGGAAAAGGAGATGCGATATTACATCTGTTCCAGGAGTGAAAGCATGATTGCAGGAGCATGCTTCATCTTCTGACGTCCTCAGAGGCAGGATGTTCTTAAATAGTGCTTCTGTTTAATGAGTGGAATCAAGATTTCCTGGTCCTTAACAGATACTTGGTTCTCGTGAAAGTTAAAAACAAGTAAAGAGAACATGTGATTTTCAGCAAAGCCATAATATATTTGAGCTGAGAAAGAACCACACATCTTAATTGATATATCTTACTCTGATGAAAAAATTGAGGTCCATGGAGGTTCTAGAACAATAGCTCTGATTACTAGCAGAGATGCGTAAATGCCTTGGCTGTTAAATGTGGAGTACCCCCTCTTCTGTGAAAACTTCTCCATTTCCCTCACCTAGAAAATAACAATGTTGCCTTCCAGCCCTGGGTTATAATTTAAAGCGGGAAGAAAGCTGCTAGTACTCAAGGCCTTGGGGATATTTGTTAATATAAATATGTCATTGTTATCTTGAAGAATTGACCTTCCTGGGAGTATTAGTTTTCTCTAATGCAAAAGGTTCAGATTGATTTTTTTTCCAGTTCTTTTATAAAAAGCAAAATTATTGCCACACTGATAAGCTCTCCTTTGCAATTAATAATCCATCAGACCAATGTGAAAATTCCAAATGAGTTAAATTAAATTATGCTCAATTGGAAAAGATGGAAGGAGGGAAGAAAGGTAAATTTATCTGTAATTTCTGTTTAAAATACTTACATAGCCGGGCGTGGTGGCACACTCCTTTAATCCCGGCACTTTGGAGGCAGAAGCAGGTGGATCTCTGTGAGTTCAAGTCCAGCCTGATCTACATGTCAAGTCATGGAGTTCCAGTCAAGCTATGGCTACAGGGAGGCCTACACACACATGTTGTGCACACTCACCTGCATGCATACCCACAAGAACACATGCACAAAGGTAACTTCATACACTCACAGAAAGAATTCCCAAAACCTGCACTGTAAATTTCAATAATTTGAAAATAGAATTTCTTTACAAAAAGGCAATTAACTAAGTTTCTTTATATTGTAAGTTTTTCTTTTTTACGGAAATTATCACTTGAAAACAATAATGATTTTGTTTGCATATGACTTTATTTTATTTTTCACTTATTTATTTTTATTTCATCTGTGTGTTTGTCTGCATGTAAGTGCACCATATGTGTGCATTGCCTGAGGAAGCCAGAAGAGGATGTCAGATCTCCTGAAACCAGAGTTAAGGGTGATTGTTAGCTGCCATGTGGGTACTAGAAACAAAACCCTAAGTCTTCTGCAAGAACAGCTAGTGCCTTTACCACTGAGCCATCTCTCCAGCCCATATACAGCTTTAGAAAAATATAGTAAAGGGGGCTGGAGAGATGGCTCAGCAGTTAAGAGCACTGGGTACTCCTACAGAGAATCCAGGTTCAGTTCCTAGCACCCATATGGCAGCTAACTCCAGCATCCTTAACTCCAGTTCCAGGGGAATCCAACGCCCTCTTCTGACTTCCTCAGACATTGCTCAACACAGGTGCACTTAAACACATGCAGGCAATACACTCATACACATAAAATAATTTTTAAAAAATTTAAAAATACAGTGAAAAGCACAAACCATAAGTGTGCAATTTCATGATTTTTAAAAATGCATGCACCCATGTAGCTCATATCTGTGTTGAAGTATACATTCCCATCGCCTTCAGAAGGTTCCTTTTAACCTCTTCCTAATCTCTCTCCAATTGTCATGTCCAGAGGCAGCTACTTTTTCTTTTTTAAGACATGTCTTCCTGTAATCCCAGCTGGCCTGGAACTTGCACAAGACCTGCACAAGCCAACCAGATCCATCAGCATTCCAATGCATGAACAAGGTTCAAGTCCCAGGAGTAAAAAAAAAAAAAAAAAAAAAAGACATGAAGAGAGAGGTATGAGGTATGTTGAGGTACCTGGGGACAGTGAGAGATAAGAGGTGTGGGGGTAGATATGGTCAAGATACACTGTTTGCATGTATGAAATTACCAAAGAATAATTAAAAGATTTTCTTCTAAAAAGAATGAAATAA